GGGGGGGGGCTGCACGGCATGGTGTGGCGTCCGTTGCCTGGACGTCCTTCAGCATGCGCTTTGGAGAGCTGAGCTCTGGTTTAGCAGGTGGCAGCTTAATTTCCGTGGTGTTAATCTCCTTGCAGACAAAACGGGAGGAAAGAAGTTCTCCAAGGAGTTTGAGGAAGCAAGTTCAAAGCTGGAAGAGTTTGTTAACGGCTTAGACAAGCAAGTGAAAAATGGCCCCTCCCTCACCGAAGCCCTGGAGAACGCCGGTATATTTTATGAAGCGCAGTATAAGGAAGTCAAGGTGGTAGCAAATGTAAGTATGTTTTTCCTCAGTTCTCAAGCATCTCGGAGACTGGAAAGTGCATCATTTCTACTCAGAAATGATGACGTTTGGTGTCATTATTGTACAAATGGTTTCAAAACAGATCAGAGTTGAGGTGTTGGGCAAGAAAAGGAGATGCTGGAACAATCCGTAGGTCAGGAATTCCGTTCTTGTGCGTTGCTGGAATTTTGTAGCCCCTCTGGATTTTCAAACAGGTGGAAATTACAATTCGTCAACGAATCCGAAACTCTGGAAGCTGCACAAGTTGTGGTCAATACGTGAACTGTGTGAATAAAGAAAGAAAGAGTTCCACGAAGTGTCGTAAAAACAACCAAGGCCCCTAACCCTACTAGAAAAACTCTAAACAGGCGCAATATTTGTTAGAATCTTTTTTTTTTTGATGAAAATTGTTTTCTGTCACTGGAAAAAGGTTTTACCTTCCCCTTTTTTTGTGCTTCTTGCTCGGCAAGTCTCCCTGACAAGCGGAGCTCTCGCTGCAGGGTAATTGGAAGTGGCTTGCTAAGGCTGTGTGTTGCTTCTGTTACAGAAGTGGTTGAGCCGTGCTCTCTTCCTACAAAAGGTACTCACTCCGTCGTTCTTTCTGTTTTAGGCTTATAAAACATTTGCTAATCGGGTGAGCAATCTAAAGAAAAAGTTAGACCAGTTGAAAGCCACGCTTCCTGATCCGGAGGAGTCCCCTGTCCCTTCTCCGAGCATGGACGCCCCGTCTCCAACAGGCTCCGAGTCCCCTTTCCAGGGGATGGGGGAGGAGGACAGCTCCCGGTCGCCGGTGGTCGGAAGCCGCAAGGCGATAACTCCGGAGCCTGTGACGGATAATCGGGATGTGGAAGACATGGAGCTCTCCGATGTGGAGGACGATACGTCTAAAATTATTGGTACGTTCCGCGGGAGCAGCGGAGTGATTGTTGTGTAGCGATGGCATTGAGAGCAAACGGCCCTCTCGTGCCTCGCTGGGGGTGTCGCGGCTGCGCAAGGCCCTCGTTGGGCTGCGGGTTGGTGCTGTTGGGTTCCCCTCTCCTGCCCCGTTCCCCTGACACGAGCAGGGGAGTCCTGACCTGGCTGTGATTGTTCCCATCTCCCACACCACGCATCGTGTAAGCTTTTACGTAACCTGTGGGAACCAGAGCTAACGTGCTTAATGATGAGAGTCCTGCTG